GTTTTTTGCGTATCCTTTGACCCCAGGAAGGTGAGAGATAAAGTTTTTCATTGGCGCCTTTTTACTTCTTCGAAGGGGAACGTTTCGAAATTTAGTCATTTTATCTATGCCATGATAAAGATCACTTATTTCTGCATTGGAATTTTCATCTAAACATTCAGACGAGTTTTCGGATTGACTACCGTGATTCTCCTCTCGTGGTTCCTCATCAGAATCCTGACTATCATCGAATTCACAATCTGTAATTTCTTTTGCACTCACTTGTTCTCTTTCACGTTCTTCTTGTTCTAATAACCACTTCAACCAATCATTTGGATCAGATGATCTTGTTTTAGAAGCCATTATTGGTAAACATGAACAATAAAGAAGAAATTAACCCAAACGTAACACAATTCACTTTGGAACACAAATACTCGCGTGTGAGCGGTCCGCCGCACTATCAGAATTCTACAAGTAAACTGAACAAAGTGGGTCTATAGTCGTAGCTAGAAATTTTTCCTTTGAAACTTCCATGGAAGGGGATTTCCTCTTAACATAGATCGAACGACAGTTTAGAAAAAAATTCCTTGAAAGAGTTATCAGACTTTTACTGAAAATGCGGCGCTGCGCTCACAACGCGAGTCCTGGAGGGCTAAACTAAGTTCAGCGTGATGAAAGACTCTCGGCTTACAAGCCGCGTCAGGTGGCTGAATAGTGAATAATTAATATCTCCTGCGGAAGATATGGTTTATTCACTGATGCAGAAAAAACTGAGTTCTCACCTTGTAGCTGTTAACCTTCGAACAATATAAAACCATCCATAGCAATTGCACACCAAACCTCACTAACAGCATTACCTGCCACACCCTAGCGTCTTCCCAACGAACAATTCACAGATAACATAACATAATCTGAAAAAATTAAACCCATCACAGATAACTACATAACGGAAGTGCTGTAAGATCTATATGTAATTGACAACACAGAGACATTTGCATGTGCTGCCATCTTTTGAAAATAGTTGTAAAACTAGGAAACAATTGTGGAAGACGGAAACATAACAATTTGTATTCCTAAAATATTATTCTAGGCCAAACGAAGATGAGCAGTAGGGGTAGTACTATAAAACATGAACGAAAACAATTCTGATGAGTAATAGTGGAACTTTATGCACGCTCTATCATACGTATCATCTATCGTATTACCTTCAGTATCTATCTCTCACACAGGTGACTACGCATCTCACACATAGCATGGTTGTCAATCGCCCATCTATTGTGCTATAGCACAAGGCGAAAAGAATGCTGGTACGATTATCCCAATCGGTTAAAAGTTCCCACTACCAATCGACGTTCTCTTACCTACCAATGCTGACAGGAGAAATTTCAGGTTCTCATTGTACCTGGCGAGTAGGAGTCTAGTACTTCCTTTAACACTTACCACTGTACTAAGAAAAACTAATAATAGAAAGAAGCACTTTACATAATCAAAAATAGTTCATATTTAAACAGAGTTCAAAGATGCTGAAGTTTTAGTATTTGTGACTGCTCTTACAAACAAATCTGAAAAACTACAGCAAACTGTAAATGCCTTGTTACAGCAGTGATAACCGACATACATATATATTTAGGGGTGAAATGGCTGAATTAACTTAAAGCAAAAGATCAAGGACTGTTATCATAAACATGGTGGTATAGGAGCATTAATAGCTATATGTAAACAAGTATATGGATTTGTATTGATGTATTTTCACAAAACTTACAATAATGGTCTGAAGTTTTTAAAATATATGCACAGCTTACAATTCATAGCAATACATACATTGCAGTATCCATTAATTATTACTAATGGATAACACGTAGTGTCCATTAACAACTTTCAAAAGTTTAGAATCAACACATTTTAACATACCCTTTTAATATTTCCTCCGCGGGTGTTCGGCCTGAAAGGAACTCCCACTTAAGAATTTAACACAGATGAATAAATTGAGTTGGTTAATCAAGGTTCATTTAGATTCTTAATAAGAATACCAAAGGCTTTTAATAAGAGTGACAGAAAAGTTACTTCCAGACCAAATATCCTGAATCTAATTTAAAATTGTAATATCAATCTAGAACTGTACTGTCACCGCATAAAGGTGTTCTAACATTCAGAAAATTATTAAAAATGTTAAAAAATAGGTGCAGGAGGGTACTTTACACTTCAGCATGTGGACACTGCTGTAACAATAACGACCCAAATTTTGAGTTTAAAATGAGATGATATGCATATCAATAACAAAAAATTGTTCCAGTCATGACTAGGATAATATAATGTTTTTATGCTGATAAATGTTCTTGTTAAATTCAACATATACAATTTCACTCACACTGCTTTCCAGAAATGAGCACAGATATTTCCTGCACTAGGTTTTATTTTAATGTTCCAAACAGGATACACAAACTTATCAAATGGCTGACAAACTACACCTCCTAGCTCTGCTAATGATACACATTTCAACTCGCTTTAAACACAAGTTCAGTTATATTTTTTTTAAAAGTTGGCTGATGTAAGCTATAATCTCTTGTTGTCATTGCAGTTTAATCATTAACAGAAATACTTTAATCTTTTCCAGCAATTCTGATTTTGCCATTATACTACTTTGACATTTGCAGTACACACAAAAGAACACAGCATATGTGTCAATAAGGCTCATGGACCACATTATTTCAACTTGACTACTGCCTGACACTTGAAGCCAATCATTTACACATTATACAAAAATTTCAAACTCTATGAGGCATTAGTCACAAATGTATTTTAACACACTCAGATCAAAACAGAAATTCATCAAATTACCCCTGCAGTCTAGTGATTTTTGATCAAGAGGCAATTTGTCCAATCATACTGAAATTTTTAATCAGATTTTATTATATGTTGCATAAACTATTCAATACTGATACGAACATATTGTCAGAGCCATCTGTTGACAGTGACATAATCTAAACAAATTGTAAAACATATCTTGCTGTAGGTTCTAACATGTTATCAAAGTTGATATAAGAAGGATCATTTCCTTGCCTCAATGAATTTTTGAGATTACATAAACAAATCAGATGAATATTATTGTTTGAACATTCTCTTAATGTTTACTTTGTACAAAACTGGACAGAATGGTGATAAATATAATCCAAACAAAATAAAAAAATGTTAAAATAAAAGCAATTTTGACTACATTTCTCTAAAAATAAATTGCTGTCTCTATTGGTGAAAAGTTTAATTTCTATAAGATTATATCAGTGTAATGGTAATAAGTTTCTTTTTAGTTTTGCCAGTGCCCTATGGCCAGCCTTGGGCATAGCTTTACTCTGCCTATCATTGGCAATTATACAGTGTTCAAAAAGAATAAAATGAGCATCCTTACAGAAGTTTGTTGACACTACATATATTACGTTTGTGTTTCAGACACTGTCACAGAGATTTGAGGTAGGGGGGAAGGAAAAGAAATGGACAGGCAATGGTGAACAGCTATTGTGTCACAAAAAAATTTATAGAAACCTTTAGACCACTAGAAACAAAAACAAATTTTAAAATATCATTTCTGTTTGGTGGCAGATCTGAAAAACAAAAGTATTAATAAAAATTGATGTTTTACTACTGTGGTGAAGACATAATATACTGATAATTATAACAATTTTCTTGTACTGATACCATGAAAAGGGCAAAAAATATTATCCATCTGTTAAAAAATTCAATCATACCATAGTAGCTATGAATTTTAAAACAGGTAGTGATAAAGGTCTGTACCACAGTATATGAAAATCTAAGGTTTCATAACTTCATTTACATGAATGAATCAATTAAATAGTCTCAACTATATTCATTAATGAATATCACAACTTACATTATAGAAATAGATTCTCGTAAGTTTTTCAACTGATTTACATCTAAAGGCACTCAAGTAATCACTAAAGCTGAGGAATGTAATAATGTAATTTATTTACCATGTAATAAATTAACTACAAGAGTATTAGCAAAGGCAGAACAAACAGATTTTTCAGTAATTTCATTTAGATGTGGGTAGTTCACTGAATGTGTTTCTACATTTCCTAGTACACAGGGAATAAGTATGACTTAAATACTGACCTAGTTAAACAAACTCCTAGACTTAAGCTTTGAATTTTGTACACAGAAGTGCAGACTTTGGTGCATAAATGAAAGATACAAGATAAATCCCCTTTATATATCAACACAAGATAACATCCCTGCAATAAACCAATTAAGCCATTGAAATTAAAAGTGGAATCCTAAATATATAGAAAATTGTTGACAGAGTAACCAGAAAGGAATATGAATTTACTTTTTCCTCCACTTTAGTGATGTGGTCTTTAAAAATATACTGATGAAGACACAAAGAAATCTTTAATGTTTCCAGAAACACTAATCATGAAAACATTTGGTTTGGTTTGTTCAGCATTATGAATATGATGAATGGAAAACCTTCAACCTTATCAAAGTGTTAAGGCATTCATGGTGGTTTGTTGAAATTCACATATTTCTTTTTGGTAGATTTTCCTGCTGTTGTCATTAATATAATTAACAAATACAGTAAATATAATTAATTAATATAATATGAACATGTCCATCTCAGAAACAAAAATGATCACAAGCAGAAGAAAGGAACTTATAAAGGCAGTAACTATTTTAGGTAATAAAAATACTTAAACAAGTGACGGATTTTTACTATTTAGATTGCAATATGGACTAAGAGAAACCAGGATATTAATGTACAATGAAGTAAGTTTCGCAATTCTATGCAGTTATGTTACTGGGGTCCTTCCCAAAGCAAACCTTAATAAAATTTAAAACAACAGCCACATCCATGCTTTTATATGGATGCAGCTACTGAATGTTAATGAACAAATAAATGAGAAGAACAGAAATTGCAGAAATATGTTCCCAAAAAGAGGTCACAATGTACAGGATGATAGATAATAAATGCAGTGAAGATATTATAAAAGACCTGGGAATAACATACACCAATAAACAATGCAATACTATCACAGGAACACCTGAAAACTGAATCTTGACGTTGCTCAATGCATATGGAGAAGATGCTAGGGACACTGGACAAAACAATGGAAGACGGTTATAATCCTTGTAGGAGAACAGCCAAAAGCTGGATCTGTGATGCTGACGATGTGAAAGTATCAATGATAACACTATATTGTGGCAGGCTGATCTTAAGAATTTTATCTCTTGAAATGAAGACTGCAATTTAATCAATATGCTTGGAACCTGCCTGCCACAGCATGGCAACATCAACCACAAAATTGATATACATGACCTGTCATCCAAGTTAATTATTCCATTATTATGCACTCTTTGCACAAAGTGCATAGCTAGAATGCATTAAGAGCTGGTTGTGTCTTCCATCTGACTCTCTCTCCAAGAACCATTGGATGAATTTGGATTAAATCTGATGTAGAGGTTGTGCTATTCTGTACAAACTCAGAATCATACCTTTAAATATCCTATAAGTGGATACAACAAGATTAAGGATGAGGAAAATCATGAGGTAGACGTTGAGGTGCTGTGATCTGGTGGCCAAAGTGGTAACTACTGAACAAGGAAGATTTAATACCTCCAAATGCACGTAGCAAAGAATGCATATTATGTGTATTCCAATACAGAATACACTTTCTGAAGTTGTTATGATTATGTGCGATGAACCTGGTAATCAGACAACATATCAACATTATGTGTTCCGTGTGCACTGTAATGGTTATACTGTGTTTTTCATCTGTTGAAACTGTTTACAATTCTCATCCAATTGCCCTCCCTTCTCATTTTCACTTCACTCTTATTTTCTTTAATAATACTAAACTTATGATGTACCTACCACAAGTTTCTGTGATATTTGTGTTATTTGGTGGTATATCAGAAGTTAAAAGCACCTCAAATATTGGATTCACATAATTCCTTCATCTCATAGCCAAAATATTTTGATAATAAAAATAATGAAATCTTATATAAAACTACTTTTTTGAACATTTAGTAGTTAATGAAGACACATCTGTAAGTATCTTGTACTCTATGGCCAAAGATGGTACATTCCAATCACATGACCATTTTTTATAAACTTCATGGAAGAACTTGGCATTCAATACAAATAAAAATACAGATGGATGCAACATAAAAAACAGAGTGTTCCCATAAAAACATCTTTCCTTCACATGTTCCTTTATATCCATACTATGACAGAACTAGTGCTTATAACTGTGCAGGGTGCAGGTGATGATATGTCAGGTAGCAGCCAAATTAATAATGTAGTGTAACATTTAGTAAATGGCATGTAGAGTCCAACCTTTAGCCTCATCACAAGGAGAGATTCTGTACAGTTCAAATTAAAGTATAAAGAAATATTTCACAATTACTACTCTTGTAAGATCTGCTTTTGATCAAAATATCTTTCTGCAGTTAATTTTTCACTTTTAACTTTACAGAATCATTAAATTGAAAATGTATTTAATGTAGTATTAACAATGCATTATGTAACTATTTACAATTACTTATATACAAATAATATTTTTTCTGCTCTCAGTCTTTTTTTATATTTATAATGCAGCTTGTAGGTGAATCAAATGTGAATATCAAATAATAATATGTAATAGAGAATCTTAGCACTAATTTGTACAGGCTGGATGAAACTATCTGCACACAAACAATACTGGAAGAAAGGGTGGGTTCACTGGCTATGTACAGTCGGCAATATAAAACATGCAACACTCACATAACTGGGAAGGAAATGTTAAGTGACTTTAAAAAGTAGCATACAAAATAACAGTCAAATTAAAATCCAAAATAGCATACAATTTAATTAATCTCATCTCTTCACAGCTCTTCAGGGCACTCATCATCAGAAAATTATACATTCTCATTAAACTCTCTACTGAATAAAAATATCTGAGATCTTTAATCACCTGGGTTTATAGCTCAAAGCGCAAATATATTTGTTCTACTTTTGATGTTTTGATGAAAAAGAATGTGACTCACTTTTCAAGCACTTCTTCATCTAAAAGTGCAAACTACAAAAACTTAACAGCAAAACCAACCATCTGACTATTACTGCATTTACTGTTAGAGCTAAAGCCCATTTTCCCATTTCATTCACATTTCTACACATCACTATAATGGTAAATCAAATTAATAATTTTGTGTACAAATTACTTTACAAATAATATGTAAGTAGTACCAGTAAATTTGTAAACATGCTAATCAAAAACATTGCATTTAAAATAATACATTTTAAAATAGCACACACTGCACATTCTATGACAAGATTCTCATTCCATTTTTAAGAAACACTTTCATTTCTATGTGACTGTGCTGATGTTTATATGTCCGACTGTAAGCATACTGCTGCACTGTTCTCTTCATCTCACATAAGCACACTCAAGACTGAGTGCATTTTCTGATACATGCAAAACTATTATCACGATCTCTCTATATTTAACCTATCAGAATCAATTCAGTTAAGTATAATAGTTGGTTCCACATGTCATTGGCACAGCATGCAAGCAGGGCTACAGATAAAACTTTCTTAATACAACACATGTTCAAAGTCTATAGCCTCCTTTAATCTTGGAATGTGATAAGACATCTCTCATTCCCTGTCATGGTTGCTATTCACAGTAAAATAGAAAGAATTAAAACTTGGATAAAGACATAGTATAATTAGCTGCCTTCATTCATCTCATAAAAGTCTCACCAGAGAAAAGTATGCTATTCATAATGCTTTTGACAGACATCACTCTATGATAGTTTTCTGCCACATAATCTCCATCAGCACTAGAAAACAAAATCACAGAATCACTAATCACTGTACTGTAATACAAACTCCTTTTCCTTCTTAATGTGTTCATAATTCCTTTACTTTTCTTAGCACATTCTTTAGTAGCGTGTTTGTAAAATGAGTAATGTGTGCCCGCATCAGGATAACCACCACGGACTTCTGCTAAATGTATGTTTTCTTAACCTTCTGAATTGGTTTGTTTTCTGCTGATGAATTTGCATTCTTTCCATTGGCATTCTTCGGTGGAACATTGAGCACAAGATTGATGGCAGCCTTATTGTTTGCACATGGTGGATAGGCAGCATCTGCATTAAGTCCTCCTTCTGTCAATCTGTCAACAGAAAGTCAATATGGTAACAGTGTACGAGTTGTGACAATCTTATGAAGATAACATTCAAAATGAGATTAAGTTTGCTATCATGCGTTTCACATGATTTATGTTCTACGGTCGAAAGAAGCAGCAAACAGAGGTCTGTTTCTATAATGTTATAAAGGAAAAAACAAATAATTAGATGAGATTTCAGGTTGTCATGGCAATGAGTATAAAGATGAGCATCTTCTGGGATGTGCCATGTACTTTGGTAGAGGTTTACTTAGCCATCATCACCCTGATGATGGAAAGACTAAGCAACTCTGAAATGTTGGAAAACTTCTATTAGACTACATGGTGCAATATCCCAAAAAAGTCATCTTTGAAAAAACATTCAGGTAATATAATGCATATGACATTGCTAGTTAATTTTATTATTATTGTTGATCACTAATTTTGAATGAACCAATTCTTATGACTATAGCATCTCCAAAATTTCTTTGTTCCAAAAGACAGCATGGATTTACACAACAATCTGTTTTTTTTTCACATTGTATTCGATATGACTATAAAAGCAGAGACAAGGTATGAGAACCTTAGGACAGGCAAGATAGAAAACATATTCTATGATTTCCTTCTGTATTAATTCCACTTCACTGAACATCATGGCTTAGTAGTTAGCACTCCTGTTTCATATGCAGGAGGTCCCAGGTTCAAGCCTATGCCTCAAAACCAGCTATCCTGACTGAGGTTTTCGGCAGTAGTCCCGCTGGACAAATGCTAGTAGAGTACCTTAAATTAGGCCATGACTGCTTCCTTTTATAGCCTCTTCACTTCATTATTCACTAATAATCTAATTATTTTATTACATTAATTTGAACTAATGCCAGTAGCATTAATCTCTATCATATGCCAACAGGGAATATAAACCCTAGTATTAAGGTCGTGTTCCAACTGGAATTTAAAGTTTAGACACATGCATCTGCAATACATCGTGCAGTCAGCTGCAAGGGCAGAATATTCATGTTAACTCTATTAGCCATGTGTAACATTTTCAAAAATGATAAATAAACATTACTGCTCTGACCCTATCATATGCCAACAGGGAATATAAACCCCAATATTAAGGGCGTGTTCCAACTGGAATTTAAAGTTTAGACACATGCATCTGCAATACATCGTGCAGTCAGCTGCAAGGGCAGAATATTCATGTTAACTCTATTAGCCATGTGTAACATTTTCAAAAATGATAAATAAACATTACTGCTCTTCTGCAATACCTGGTGCAGTCAGCTGCAAGGGCAGAACATTCATGTTAACTCTATTAGCCATGTGTAACATTTTCAAAAATGATAAATAAACATTACTGCTCTGACCCTAGTTAGCTGGATTGTGCATAAGCCTTGATACACACCACAAATATGAAAATGGTTTGCTTATGGGCTGTAGCAATGTCTGGTCTGGTAGACAGTGACTATATTTCAGAGAAGCTTAATGACTCCATCATCAGGGTGATGATGGAGGCAGTAGGCTCTCTCTGAAATGTTGGTAAATATCTACCAGACTTCACAGTGCTATATCTCAGAAGTCAGCCATCTTCATGAACAAAACCTCTATGAAAAGACATAGAACCAATGCTATCTGTGAGAGAAAATCTCAGTTTGTTCTAAACATTACACGCATTCAATATGGGCAACATTTCTCACACGTGCAATGCTCAACCGATATTCAAGCTCAATCCATGTACAATGCAGCATGTCAACATCAGCTGTTACAATAGCAGCTTCAATTCTGTCCTTCAAATCGTTAATGTCGGCCACTGGAGTTTGGTGGTCTTTTTCTTTTATGCAACCCCACAGGAAAAAATCACGGGGTGTGATATCTGATAATGGCATGGCCAATCGATCAGTCTGGGACATACTGATAACAGACGCATGCACTATCAAGTTCCAGTGAGGTGGTGCACCATCTTAATGGAAGAACATGGCAGGCAGACAGGCAATCCTTGTAACAGTGGATAGACAAATTTTTCCAGCATCTCCAGGTAACTGATGGATGTCACAGTCACTTCAGCAAAGAAAAAGGGTCTGATCAAACAATCACGTAACAGGACACATCACAACACATTAACTTTGGGGCTGTATCTAATGTGCTCTACTGTAGCTAGAGGGTGTTCTGATACCCAGATGTATACATTGTTTGTTTACCTTCCCTGAAACGTGGAATGTAACATGAAGAATTCATTGTCTTCATCCAATTTCTCAAGTCACTGCAAATTCCTTACGGGCTACCCAATCATCTGGCATAACTGCCTGCACCACTTGCAACTTGTAAGCACACAGATAAATGTTTTCATAACACCTAAATGCACTGTAAAATGCATAATTTGCAGCTCATGTTGACTTACGAGGACTGTAGACAAAGATCCTGTGTATCCTTTCAACATTTTCATCAGACACATGTGGATGCCCTGAACCTTTCTTGTGCAAAACACTGCCAAATTTCCTTAAAGTGTTTGTACCAGGCACATATTAATGGTCTTCATGGTGGTGTCTTGTGATACATTGTTCTGAGACATCTTAGGATCTCTGTATCCGATTTCATTTTGATAAACCACTACATACACTGTGCCTTCTCCTGTAGATTCATGGTGAGATTGACCTGATTAACAAAGACGGATGCAGTGCAGTGGAAAACAATGGGTGCTACCATCTACCGGGTACTTGGTAAAACTTTGAGAGTTTCTCTCGCAGATAATGCTCAAAATTGTTTTATACACCCTGCCTTACGACTGCAGGGATTCACTTAAAAAAACGAGTGAGGCAAAAGCAGAAATTTTTAAACAAGTGATGACCACAGAAGTTCAGTAATGTAGTTGTATAATACTTCTTATGACGTATCAGCAACACAGAGTTCAGTCACACCTAAAATTCCTTCATGTAATCATATGTCACCACACAGGAACAATCAACACAAAAAATGGACAATGCATGTAACCTGTACTATGGTTCTAAATGTTAGGTTCTTATATAACAAGAGTTACACACACATCAGTAATTTAATTTCTTCAGAATTGCCTACACAGTACCAAGTTATACCTTCAGATACTGGAGAAATATAAAATAAAAAACCTTCTACATTTTATATACTCAGTTGCTACAGATGCACTACTGTTCAGGAGCTGGCATGGCCTTGCCATGAAGAAAAGCAAAGCAGCTCAGAAGCAAATACCTATTACTATTTTCTTTAAAAAAATAATTTATTTAAAAATTTAATTATATTAAGTATTATTTTTTGTGATTTTTTCACTTGATGCCATACTGCATTTTCTTCATAAGCCAATATCATAAAGTGAGTTACAAATATAATTCATATTTACCCTCATATTACTTATGTCTTCCATACTATCAAACATTTTTGATTACCTGATAATCCTTCAGTCCTGTTTAGGTCAGATTATCGGTACTCTACAATACCTTAAAATCAGTGATGACTGTTACTCTCCACATACTTCACAATCATCATCCTCCCATGTGGGATATAATATAATATGACTTTCATCCGTGCAATGCAGCTAACATGTGGCCCAGCTGGTCATGCATTAGTATACTACCAAACCATTAAACCCAGCACTAAAATCCAGCTGATGGGGATTTAAATCTCCTATTCTCATAAAATAAAGTTTAAATACACCAAGAAACAAACAATACAATATATTCCATTATTTCATGAAGAGGGTAAGTGTAAGTAAATATGAACAATGCATTCCATGGAATAAATATTATCCTTAGTAATAAATTATTCAACAAATTCAAATACAGTAAACTCCCAATTATCCATACTAATGAAGGAGAGAACATGCATGAATAAATGGAAAAGTGGATACTACAAAATATGTTGTTTGGTGAATTCATAAACACCACAAATTACTCAATTTCTTTGTACAACTGACATTTATTTACAGAAATAGGTGTGTAATGTTAGCATATTTTGTGAACTGCCCAGACTACTCCTCACAGTAGTACAAATTTTACTGACAGCTGCAATGTAACTGTATTTGACCCTCTCTGACACACATAGTCTAGCAATGCAGGCATACTGTGGTGCCATGTTGTGATTGACAAACCCACTGCTATGTCCTCCTTCATTCTCATCCTCTCCACAATCTTCTTCTATGTTTTGCTTCTTCACAGCATCAGCAATGTACATGTCTGTCTTATGTTGAAAGCCCAGTTCACACACACAACTTAGTAGCCACTGGTCAACATTATCTTTGTTGACATCTTCAAGCTTCTCATAACACACAATATCCAGAATCTCAAACTAGCTAGTTTCAATAGGACAACCTTACAAATCATCTAAATATGAAAAGTTTTCTTTGTGATCAAATCAGAATTACTGTCATCTTATCAGCAAGAGTTCTGAGATGGTAGCTTCATTTCATGAATGCAAGCACTCCTTGTGACAATGGGCTGTAAAGTGGATTTGACACGGGGGGCGACAAAAACTTCCATTGATGAAGCCATTGTCAGAAGTCAGCATGCTCTCTTTTGGAAGAGAAGGGGCATGTCTAGCAGCAACAAAACTTTTTGTGGTAATCCTTTGGCTTTCATAAAAGCCCAAACTTCTTGAACAAAATGCTTCTGGACCCAAATGTCATGAATCTCCGTATTTGCATGCATTCTCCTTTCTGGTTGTAACAATGAACAGGAATATAGTTTGCTTTGATAAACTTGAACAAGTCTTTTGACTTTTCCAGTCACTACAAGTTTCAGTATGTAATTTCCACACTTGACTTCAAGGCATTCTCTACATTATTTATGCCCAGGAGCATACTTCTGTCTTTCAAATGTAAGTGTTCTTGTTGGTAAGCCTTTACAGTACAAACCACCTCCAGCGACCCACTTTTTTGCCATGATAACAACTGGAACAAACCTCCCATCCCCACACCACCAATAATACTGACTGTATGTCACTGGAGAAATAAAGGTATTGTTCAACTGTATCTTCTGTATACCATCTGAAAACCAATCACCCCCTCCGCCCCACTGAAGGCACAGAGGAAGGTAAAAAGCTTAATTAACACTTGTCAATGTAAAGTCATACACATAATCTATGAACCGGATAATCTGCATACAGTTAATAAGGAGTTTGCTGTAAGATATTTTGCAATTCCACCAGGCGTATGGTTATTATACATACTGCCAGTTGAATTTTATGTCAGTCATAAATTGTGAACTGCTCAGAATAATAGTATGAATATTCCTGGATTATTTTACTTCACATTCCACATTCAGTGCAAGGTTCAAATAAAGTGAGTGTCAGGAGTTTGGAATAACATGCATTCATAGCAGGACATATACATATAATTATTCTTTGCCAAAACTTATAAGGCTCAAATCACAAAGAGTTTCAAGTGGTTTATAATGTCAAGACAGCATTGGTTAATTAAATGATTTAATTTTTTTTCAATATAGAATGCAAGAATAGTTATGTATTGTTTTAAGATAGAAAGTCACATATAGTAAGTAAAATATTTCATTAATTAGCATGTAACATGGTCAGTAAAAGTGAAAGACAGCCTGAAGTTTGTGGGGGTATAAAAATTGTGCCAATGAATGTAAAAATGTATCTTGTCTGCAGTATGAAGCACAAACTTGTAAGAATTTATGGCAGTGAAAGAAATCAATGCAAGGATGGGGATGGGTTGGTAAGCAGCTTTTAACAGGATTAAAAGAGTGAAGTTATGAAACAGAATGCAAATATTCTCCATTAAATTCTATTTTGCTATTTGCTATGATGAAATGAAACTAAAAACTATCCAAATAGGGATATTCACCATTGCTTCAGAGGAAGGGACAGTCACTGAAGTACTGGTAATTGTGACGAATATCTAATTGATTAATTAGGATCTTTGTCTTTGCCACATGCACTACATGAACATGTACATTCTTGTGACAGTCACAGGTGTACAGAGTGTTGCCTTCTCTAAGTCTCCACATCAGACCAGTTAACAGTCTTACACTCCAAACAGGACCAAACTGCAATGTCACCATAATCCATTATGTAAATACACAACAGATTGCATGTGTAAAGATGGTTGCAGACTTTGACATGTCAAAAACATTACATATGATTCTATTACAGATCTCACAGACAGCCAAAGGTGTCTTCAGTTTGTCTCTCACAGCATACACTTCCATATCCATAACATTTTAAACAAACATGCACACAAATGCTACCACTGCTTATTTTATAAATGAAATGCACTGAATTACCTTACTATTAGTAAAGTGTAGATTATTTATACCCTATCTAATGATATTTTGGCCTTATTATCACAAAATGGCAAATGATATGTTATGAGCAGTTACATTCTTCAATCATAATGCAAAGGTAAGTTGTCCCTGGTGCTTAAGAACCAATTACATGTATGGAGGAGTGGACATACAGATCTATGGATTCTTAACTTTGGCACTAGATTCAGGTGAGGAGCCAGCTTTAAGTCCTGGCTGCTTTATCCAACAACAAGAAGCACCCAATATGGATGCTGTGGGAAGAGAAAAATCTTTGCTCCCACCAGGAACAGACTCTGGTTGACCAATCCACATCCTAGTCACTACACTGAGCAAACCAAGTTGATATTATTTTATTCATATATAAATAGCTGTCCCACTATATGCCATGTAGGCGCTTGTGGGGAGGGGAGGTATAGCTCCTACTTATTCTTGACCTCGGAACTAGATGGAGTGAGTGGTCAGCATCACGCCCCAGCCGCACTTTACTCCCGGTAGCCATTGGATAGGAGGCTGGGTGGGCCCCAGAACCGGTCTGGACGCAGAGGCTAGAGGAAAAATCCTCTGCCCCTGTCGGAGATTGAACACCGGTCGTCCAGTCCATAGCCAGTCGCTATACTATCTGACCTATGCTGACACCTATTTTATTAATATATACTGAATTTAATTTAAACATAAAACAAAGATTATGTAAAAAATAAAACTATTTTCAGATTTCCAATTTAATATGCAGCACCCCTGGATTGGAATTGGTCAAACATTAGTCTTCATTCTCATACACGAACTGAAAGCTATGTAAATTAATACAACACAACAAGACTGCTGTATAAAAAAATAAGGAAAAAAGTAATGTCTCACACATGTATAACACAAAGGCACTGATACAATAAAATATGTGGTTTATCATAATTTACAGTAGGAAACATATTAGGACTAATATTATGTGATAGACTTACATCTTGCAGTCTGATATCATCTTTGCTTTCAGAATTCCACTTAATCAGTAAGGAATACAATTTCATGGCTTAGGGTTCATTATCAGTTTCAAATTTTAGTAGTACCTATTTAGTTGGTGGCGCTGGTCAGGGTAGGGCATGTTGCTATAATCTTCACCTCTACAGCATCGCGAAAAAAGAAACCCCAAAACAAAGCCAACAACCAATGCTGCCAGACAAGATGTGGCCACAACAATGCTCAATGTCTCTGCTGAAAAGATTGGAACCTTCTCTTGTGATGAAGGCAATTTGGCTCCTGTGACAAAAGACCAAACCATGCAGTAAAATTAATATAAAGTATCTTACACAAAATAGTTCAAAATACATAATAAAGTCAGATTTTTCTAGCACTGAACAATTATGTATGTTTTAATTAAAACAAAGTCTGTTGATATGACACATTAACTTCAAAACACATCTTTCCATGAATCCATGGCATCACTCCCACTTTCCCTTAAATGTTTTTCATGGCTAAATCTGTACTTGTCCATGTTCAACACATGGTCCAATCTGGTTCTTTTGTAACCATACCAACATAACAACCTGCAGGAACGGTTCAATAAACATGTGGATTGGTTTCAAATAGTCACTGCAACCATTCAAAAATAAGCATCAGAACATACATGATCTGGAAACAATGGAAATCTATCCCTCCAGAAGAATGTACTTAACCAAATGTACACCAGATTTTTAATTAAAAAATGTGAAGTTATCACATAATCACAAACATGACAAAATTTATCATTAGGACAAATGTTTATGTCATCACAGTACAAGACTATTCAATTTTAGAGCAGGTAGGCTACTATCCAAAAGCAGGGAGGCCATCTACTGTTTTATTTATATGTAGTTTAATCCTGTGCATTGTTAGTTTAAAAATATGGCAACTATGGCAACTTAAATCTGTAAATATTAATGCATGTAAAAAATAACAATATCAGTGTAACATTTTGAATAAAATGTAAATGCATATGCTTTTTTTCAAAATTAAACACAATAGTAACCAAACAATTTGAGTAATTAATATAACTAAAAAAAGGAACCTTTTCCATAACTCAAGGTTTGAGGATATGTTTATGAAGATGACAGTCTCTTCAGATATTGTAGTCTCATAGAAGTTGACTGACATTTCAGAAGTGCGTGTTGTCTACATCATCAGGGTATGACCCTGATGACGGAGGCAGAATGCGCCTATAAAATGTCAGACTGCTTCCACAAGACTATAAAGTCCAATATCTCAAAACAATGTCATCTTCATACATGCTGCCATGAGAACCTGAAATCTTACTTAGGAGACATTTGTATGAGTAAATACAGTATCACCACTATGTTGGAAATAATGACTGGAGGATATTTTAATTTACATGGACAAAATAATATGACCAAGCAATGGATCACTTTGGAGAAAGGGAAACACACTGGCCTCATGCATAACAGCTAGTTAGTTTATTTCCTTCAGAAGCATAGGACATAGACTATGGCATTCCGGAAACAAAGTTTTTCTGTTATACTAGGCACTTC